AGTAAGCAGTTTTTCTGACAAGCCAACTTGACGGGTCGGAGACCAGAGCAGGACAAGAGAACCGGGCGGAAAGTGTACGTCTCGGTGTCGTTGGTTATACAAACGCCGTTGCTTCTCTTGAGAGGCCACAAGGCGAGTACGAGTGATTTCGCGTGCGTGAGCGGCCTGAGTGATAGCGTCCATGGCATATTCACTGGTCGGTCTCGCAGGGGACGGTATCACGGTGTCTAGAGCCAATGTTGGTTCTCGGCCAAACAGAAAAAATGAAGAGTAACCGGCAGTTTCATGGTGAGAAGAATTATAGGCAGTTGTGACATACGGCCACGCAAGATCCCAGTCGGTGTAGTTAGTAGAAACATACTTACCGAGCATGTCTGTAAGAGTTAGATTTAGACGCTCCATGAGTCTATTGGTTTGCGGATTATATGACGTAGTCATCTTGTGTCTCGTTCGACAGGACTTCAAGATGTCGGCTATCACTTTCGCCAAAAAGGTGTGGCCACGGTCTGTAAGTAGCTGCCGAGGGACTCCATGTTGCAAAATCACGTCCTTGAGGAGGAAGTCGGTGACGTCTGTGGCGCAGTTTGCTGGAAGAGCTCGTGTGATGGCATAATGCGTGGCATAGTCGGTGGCCACAGCTATCCACTTGTCACCCGAGGAAGACAAAGGGAAAGGGCCAAGAAGGTCCAAGCCTACGCAGAAGAACGGTTCTGACAGAATGTCAAGTGGTTGAAGGCGTCCGGTGGGAAGTGTTGATGGCGTTTTGCGGCGCTGACATTTCTCACAAGCTGCAACGTATCTTCTGACTGAGCGTGCAAGCCCTGGCCAGAAGCGTTGGCGTATTCGGTCGTAAGTGCGTGAGACACCAAGGTGACCGGAAGTCGGAAGGTCATGAAGATCATGTAGAACTTCCGAGCGAAGGTGGTTCGGAATGACAAGCAGCAGGGCCTGTCCATCCGGCTCAAAATTTTGGCAGTATAATGCACCATCGTGGGGCATGAATGAGCGATGGTACTGATTGGAAGATGGTGATTCGAGGCCCTCAATAACACGCAAGGACGCATCACGACGCTGCTCGTCACCGATGCATGTCATTTGCGAAAAAGAAAGGACGGAAGGGCCGGTGTCAGTGTCAAGTACAGTGCTCGACTCAGCAACCGGATAGCGGGAAAGACAGTCTGATGCATGTCATTTGCGAAAAAGAAAGGACGGAAGGGCCGGTGTCAGTGTCAAGTACAGTGCTCGACTCAGCAACCGGATAGCGGGAAAGACAGTCTGCGTCCTGATTTAGGCGTTCGGACTTGTACGTCACCGTGTAGTTATACCCTTGCAGTCGCAGAGCCCAGCGTCCGAGCCGGCCAGTAGGATCTTTTAGTGACGTAAGCCAACATAGCACATGATGCCCAGTTACTACAGAGAAATTAGTGCCCTAGAAATATGGGCGGAACTTTGAGACTGCCCAAACAAGAGTGAGACACTCACGCTCTGTAATAGAATAGTTGCGTTCAGTAGCTGTGAGGAGGCGGCTAGCGTAGGCGACAACTCGGTCGTGTGCCCTTTGGGCTAGGACGGCTGCAACCCCGTGACTACTAGCATCGCTTCGGACTACTGTCGGAGCGGATGGGTCAAAATGAGCCACCATAAGTGGAGTCTTCAGAACCGTGATTACACGAGAAAAAGCAGCAGCTTGGTCGGTACCCCATGTACACGTGACGTATTTCTTCAGAAGCTCAGTGAGAGGTCGAGCGATGGTTGCGAAACCTTTCACAAACCTTATAAAGTAGGAACAAAGTCCTACAAAACTCCGGATGTCTTTAACTCACCGGAGTACAGGAAAACTGGTGACTGCACAAATTTTCTCCGGGTCCGGCTGCACATCAGATGCGTCGACAAGGTGCCCCAAAACTGTAATTTGCCGGCGTTCAAAGTGGCACTTCGGCGAGTTTTATCGAAGGCCTGGAGTGCGGAATATGTCGAGAGTAGCTGACAAACGCTGAAGCTGGGTCTCAAATGTTGGGGAATATACAACATTGTCAAGATAACAGAGACATGTTGACCATTTGAACCCTTGTAGCAGAGAGTACATCATGCGCTCGAACGTGGCTCGTGCGTTGCATAGCCCAAGCGGCAGAACCTTGAACTGACATAGGCCGTCTGAAATCACAAATGCAGTCTTCTTTTGGTCTTTTTCGTCGACAGCAATCTGTCAGTAGCAGAAATGTAGGTCTATTGAAGAAAAGTATCGGGCGCCGTGGAGACAATCGAGAGCGTCATCGATGCGGGGCAAAAGGTAAATGTCCTTTTTCGTGATTCTATTCAGATGGCGGTAATCCACGCAGAAGCACCACGTGCCAGCGTTCTTTTTAACGAGCACACCGGGGGACGCCCAAGAATTCGAAGAGGGTTCAATGATTTCCTTGGCTAACATCTTGGTGACTCCTTGTTAAATTACTTTACGCTCGGTGGCAGACACCCGGTATGGTCGCTGACGAATGGGATGAGAATCACCTTTGTTGATGTGGTGCTTGACGAGTGAAGTCTGGCCGAGTGTACGGCTGTCTATGTCAAATATGTCGCTGTATGAAGTCGGAAGGCGGCAGAGCGCGGCTTACTTCTCAAGTTCGAGGTCCGGGGTGATCATGGAGCGTAAGGTTGCATCCAGGCACGTGACATCCTGCGAGTGACGTTGGTGGTCGGGACATACGTCAGTCGCAAAACAGGTGAAGTGGTCGTCAATTAAGAGTCTTTGCGTGGCGACGGATAATCCTTGAGGTATCACTTGTTTTATAAAACAGAAATCGATAACATGCAAATATGTTCGGTTAGAGGCCATGGTTACGACGGAGTGTGAGACAGAAATGTCACGCGCCAGGAGAACATCAGGAATAGGCGTCACCGTCGGGCACGGGAGAGGGTGTTGCCAATTCAATCAACGTGAAAGCTTTAGGTGCTATCCGGAATAGGTCAGTGGTGCACAGGCTGTTCGGGTTTTCAGGTGAGAATTCAGAAGAGGAAGTTCTAAACAGAGATTGCTGGCGGAAAAGTGAATCAGGACAGAATGCGCTGATAAGAAGTCCATCCCGGAGATTGACGTCATGAGGGCAACTGTCGAGCACGATAAATAAAACAGGAACATGGCAGGCCGGCAAGGCTAATACGAGCGGTGCACATTCAAGTGACGGCTATAGTTCCACCATCGGTGACACGGACGGCTTGTGTTGCGGCAGGCGTAAGTACTTTTTGAGGCGGCGACACAGACGAGCACTCATTATAGACACTTGAGCTCCAGTGTCAACTAAAGCTGTCAAAGAAAGACCCTCCACATGGACTTCCAGCAGGTTCTTAGTAAGTAGCGTCAACGGAGGATTTGGGTAAGTCGCACTTGATGCAGCACTACCTCCAGGAGCTGCATAATCTAGTTTTCCATCCGGGAAGATCCATAGTTAGTCGGCGATGGATAGCGATAGGGTTGGGGCGACGGAAAACGGCGGCGTTGCGGTGACGATGAACGCGCGGTAGAGCTACTGTTAGGTGCGTCGGAAGCAGCATACTCACGGTTGGGCGAACTCCGACGGGGGTCCGCGTGTGATCGAGGAGAAGAAGGAAATTGGCTCCAATGGGGACCGTCCGAATGCTGCAGCAGTAGCGGGAGACATGACCAACTCGGTGACAGCGGAAGCAGATTGGCTTCTCATCTGCTGTTCTCCATTCCTTCAGATTGCGAAATCTGGGCAAGGTGTATGGGTCGTGGCGTGGTGCATTTATTGACATCAGTCTGTAGTCCAGTCGGAAAACGGAGCAGGTGGCAGGAAAACCAAGGTTAGTAATTTCTTGCCGCACAACTGCCTGAATAACTGACACCGCCGGAGGTGTTTGCACGGTTCCCTGGTCGAGTGGAGGTGCATGAAACGGTGCCGTATGGGCCGCCTCACGCTTGCGCCGAACAATGCGTTTGAAATTCTCGGGCAAGGGTGGTGTGGCACTGATATCGGTAGAGGTTGACGTGACAGCCGTGTTAGGGAGCCGTGAAAATTGAGGCTGAACTCGGTGGTTTTTGGCTATTTCGAAACGGCGACACTCCTTAATTTTGATATCGACGGTAGTGACGTTGTTGTACACGAGTACGTTGAGAGCGTCGTCTGCGATTCCCTTGAGAATGTTGCCCGCCCCTTCGCTCTCGGTCATTTGCTCATCTACTTTGCGGCACAACGCGAGCCCGTCCTGTATGTACGAGACATACGACTCGGTTGACGACTGTACTCGTGTGGCGAGTTGGTGTCGTGCGGCCGTTTGTCGACCGGACGGGTCCGCAATGATGTCGCGTAGTCGGTTCATGAAAATGTCCCAGCTCGTGAGCTCGGCCTCATGAGTGTCGAACCATACACTTGGGGTGTCATCCAAGTAAAAGATTACGTTGGCGAGCATCATGGTTGGGTCTCATCGGTGAAACAAGCTAACGCGCTCGTACATGCGGAGCCAGTAGTCGACATCAAAGCCAGGCTGAGCGGAGAACGTGCCGGGATCACGGGAGTGGGACTTCGCTAGGTACGTAGTAGCTGGTGCTCCAGTTGATGGCAGTGAGGGCGAGGGGCTATCATTAGAAGCCAAGGCCGGAGGCTGGATGGTGCGGCCACTTCGAAGCTTGGTGGTGAGGACGGGGAATGTTCCACCTCCGCAAAATATGTTACGGAAGAGAGACACCGTATCGACGAGGCTGTGGATGAAATATATTTCAAACCAGCAGCAGCAGCGGCATGGCCGGTAGACCAGACACCGAGCGGAGACTATTCTTCGTCTTCCTCGTCAAGCATACACGCGCGTCCCCCCCCCCCCTGGAATCTCAATTTGCATGCATGTAGCAATATTGTATGAAAATTCATAGAGTAAGTGATTCTGCCTCCACATGAAAGTGGGACAAATGTTCGTTTACGGCTCCAGATCTCATGATAGTTGTATTCCCTGGAATGAGGGTGTGTGGTGTTCTCATCGATATTACTTACGCCGATGGTCTCGAAAGAGGTCCACTAGAGCAGGGCCCTGAAATGAAAATGAGAAATACGAAATAGCTATGCGGTAGGCGAGGTGTCAAGGAAGAAAGCCAAGCATGCCAATTATATACAATATTGGCCTTCACCAACGGAGATACTATTGCAATGTTATAGCTACCTTGTTAGCCTTAGTCAAGCTGCAGGTAGTGCGGACGTGTTTGAAGCACTGCACATAATGAGAGAACGAAAACAATTCATTAGCTGTTTGAGTGCTGCTAAGTTGCGGCGTAGTGGGCTGTTGTATCGCTTTTTTACGCCATACTGGAATACTTAAGCGCGCCAAATAACGTTGCCAGTGCAATAATACGAAGTCTGGTTTAGTTTACTTGCAGATGCGCCGTAAGACTGAATTCTCAAGGGCGGATTTCCAGGAAACAAATCTGTTACCTGTACCAAAAGAAGTACATCGATGTTCAAAGGTTCACAGGTCTCGCTTTTATAGAAGTGCACGGGATCGCAGCATGCGAACTTTACCCCCAACCTGTACTTGCTTCAGGTAATATCTGAGAAAACGTCAGAACTTACATTCTAGTGAAAAAAAATCTGTCAGTTTTTCAACATCGTGTTTGCAGAGTACGGCAAGGTTCTGCTTGTTCTCATATAGGATAGTTGCCAGACTTGGCGGCCAGTATTGCCCAATACCAGTAGTCCTGTAATTACAGAGGCAATAAATGGGCTAATTCCAAGGGCCTACGTATCAGCCCCCCCGAACTGCATCACGAAAGCACTGACAATTTAGAATTCGTCCAACTTTGTGCGCCAGCGAACACTGGTTTTGTTCTAAACAAAGGGTCAAAGCCGACAGTTCATAACAAAACAGAACTATATTCTCAAATACAGAAGAACAGGCAACACACAAACTTGCATACTCGGCAGGAATTCAATAAAATACGTCACCAATCTCAAGATACTCAAAACAACGTGTACGTAACACAACCAGATACACTCAAAACAAGGCACAAGCAACGACACGCGCTACAATTACCAATACCTACCATTACGCATTAACTAACCAAGATACTTAAAGACTAAAATTTCATAGAACCCATTCAGTTCAAAGTTCTTTGAGTAAAGCTTGAATGCTTCTCTTCTAAGAAATACTCAAAGTCTAGCGCTGTTGTCGTTTCGCTTCTCCCGAAGTTCCTCTTGCAGGAAACCTCGCCTAGTCAAATGTCCGCACTTCGATAAGAAGACTGCTTCACCAGTCACACGTCAGTCACTCACGCCAGTCACTCACCTCAGCCACTCACGCGCCGCGACTGCAAAACGCGTCTTCCCCCACGGGCGGTAGACACGTGTCTCCTGCTTGTAGAACAAGCCTTCACCCGCAGGCGAAAAACCTCTTCATCTCCTGCTCTGTCCCTGAATACATAAGCCTTCGCCCGACAGCGGGAAAACCCTCCATTGTCTACCCTACGCACACTGGTGTGAACTCTTTGTTCTCCGCATCACCACCATTCGCTGCTCGCTTACATATATTCGCCCTGTGTTCGGGAAACTTCGTCGGCGTGCTGCACAGCCAAAGCCTGGGAAGAGCCGAGACCGGTGCTGCCAAGTCTAAGGAATTTTTTGCTTCCACGTGAAGCAAGCAGATCGACGGCAGGACCTCCCTCCGGCAACTTCGTTATTGTTCCTTTTTGCACTTTTTCTCTTTTACACCCCCGCTGAACTCACCCAAAAGCACACAATAGCAGTTCCGAGGGGTGCAAAGGGGTGGACAGGGCCGGCCTCTACCCCAACACTGTGTCAGCGCTTTCCTGTCCCTCACTTCATTGCAACTCATTCTGTGCCATCCGTGTTCGACGTCGATTGCCTGAATCTCAGGTTCGAATTTAGGAAAAAGTGCTCTTTCTCGAGCCCGCCCATTATACGTGCCGGTGGTACCGTCGACATGCGGTTCTCAAATTGCCCCTTCGCCTACATTTTGCAGGTTCGTCTTCGGCCTGCTGATCGGCTCAGGCAATGTTCGCCTCAGCACTACCGGGGCTGCTGCGACTGCGCTGGACCGAAAAGCACGGAACGACCACGCATCAGCAATGCCAACACCGATCTTGGACTATCAGCTGCATCAGCCCATGGGCACATGCACCTACTTACCTGCTGTAGAGCGCCATCCTTCGTGAGCACCGACTGCTATATATCTGCTCCACGAGAGAGCACCTGTCACTTGGCATGGCAGTACCATCGACATGCGGTTCTTAAATTGCCTCTTCGCCTGCATTTTGCAGGTGAGAAAGCGGCTTGGAAAATGCATCCGCTCAAGTGATTGTTTCTTATTGGTGTTGCCGTGCCCATACCAGTGTAGTGCTCTGTATGAATTGTGCATGACATCTATTAGGAAGCTATTTCTAATGGGTGGAGATATTGAAAGCAACCCCGGTCCTGACTTGAAGAAAATCGCCAGAAAACTTACGGAAATAGCTGCGGACATTAGAGATTTCAAAGAAAAGCGTCTAGCAGATGTAGAGGGCAAGCTTGATGTTATTGCAAAACTTGAAACTGAAGTTATGAAGCGTGGAAGCTTGGGCAAGTTGGTAGGACATAACTGAATGCAGGAACAGCGCAACCTAAAAGTAGTTACTTCGTAACTACGGAAGCGAAAAAACAAGGACAGAAAAGAGGGCTGACTTTCAACAAAGGTTTAATGCCGGAGTGGTGTACATATATAGGCGAAAAATGCAGGCCACACGTGAGATAATTGAAGCCTATCAAATAAACAAGTTTGGCGGTAAATGTGTAAGTTGCCCATCGGTTGCGTTGTTGCAAAAGAAGATTGCGTATCTCGATCTCTTTTAAGTTACATATGTATTTGTTTTTTCAGCCCATTCAACAAGAGACAAGAGTTTTGCTGACATTGCATCGCAGTAGTTGTTCCTGCACCCTTCTACGCATGCCCATTTTTCTCATTTTTCGCCTATATATGTACACCACTCCGGCTTTAAATCTTTGTTGAAAGCCAGCGCTCTTTTCTGTCCTTGCTTTTCGCTTCCGTAGTTACAAAGTAACTACTTTTTGGTTGCGCTGTTCCTGCATTCAGTTGAAACTGAAGTCATTTCATGCCATGAACAAATGGATGGCATGAATAAAGTAATTAAAAGCCTCGAAGTGAAAATAGATGATCTAGAGAACGACAGCAGAAGGTCAAACCTAATAGTTTATGGTATACCAAAAGCGAAAGATGAAACTAGTGAAGCGCTTTCAGAGGTCGTAAACAGGGAAATAATCGCAAAAACACTTCAACTTGAACCTGTGGCCGTCGAGCGCATACATCGCTTAGGAAGAAGAGCACCAAACAAGACGAGGCAAGTCATACCTAAATTACTTGACGAAAAAAGTAAAAATGCCAGTATCGAAAACGGCTTCAAGCTGAAAAGTATGAATTATTCGATAGAAGAAGACTTCTCACGACAACTTAGAGAAACCCGCAAGACACTCTGAAACAGTGCTAAGCAAAACCTAGAAATCAAAGACAAGGTGTTGTTAGTGTAAAGCAATCACGTTGTGGAGGCGTAGCCTTAGCTATAAAGCAATCAATTCCACTGGTCATCCTGCCAGAGGTAACTGATGAGAAGGCAGTTTTTTGTAAAATAATACAAATGGCACAAGTATGGTTGTTGCCGGTATCTATCGAAGTCCCGAATGTTGACACGAATGCATTATGGCGATACAAAAGTATTTGCGGCAGCATGCTCGAAACTGCCGCGTCATTCTCATGGGTGACATTACCCTTCCCGACTTTAATTGCTTTACCATGCAGTACACATCAAAGGTTTCAGAAACCCTTCTCGCCATGATGTTAAACTTCCACCTTCGCCAAATCGTGGAAAGCCCCATAAGGAAGCAAAGCGAGTGTCAGAGTATACTTGACCTAACTTTACAAAGCAGTAATTTTCTCTTAGAACAGGTGAAAGTTGAGGTAATAGAAGGAAAATCCGACCATAATAATGCCATGTCTATTTTACGTCTGGGTTATGAAATATCAGTGCAAACTGCTGCCCAAGAAACAATCAATTTCAATAAAGCTGACGACGACCACATACAAACTTATCTAGCTAATAAAACCAAGAGTTTTTGGCACTGGTCTCACGTCCTGTCACTGATGTAAGTGCTGTCTGGTTGCGCTTTAAAGACATATACCCCCGTATTCACAAACACTCCTCGACTCGACCCTTCGCTTGAAACGCTCCTTCAGTGGCGTTTAATAATTCACAAACCATCCTTCACTTGAAACGATTCCTACACTTGAGAAAATCTCGAGCGTTTTCTCGAGATTGTCAAGGAAGCGATCGAGCTACCTTGAATCGTCCCTCGAGTGAAGTTTCTGCGCCAACATTACGTTCATGGCGGCGCCCGTCTCGCTTTGACGGCGTTTATCAATCAATTTGGCTGCGACCGTCGCCTTCTTTCAACAGTGACGGTGCACGTTCACTACGAAGCTGCCTTGTAACGTTTCGACAACGGCTGCTGTGGCGCCGGGACAGGCGGGCGTGGTGTCAAGCGGAGCGCTCACCAGTGCCGTGATGTGTTGTGTTTCGTGAATGAGCCATTGAATTACCTACCTTCGGGTGTGCATGTACTCGTCGTGCGAGTGCTCCAAGACTTACTGCGGCTGCCAGTGCTTTCATGTGTTTTGATGAAGCTTGCACACCACACCATTTAAAGCGTGGCGCGAAAGCTTGACAAACAGCCCCGCCGCGGTGGTCTAGTGGCTAAGATACTCGGCTGCTGACCCGCAGGTCGCGGGTTCAAATCCCGGCTGCGGCGGCTGCATTTCCGATGGAGGCGGAAATGCTGTAGGCCCGTGTGCTCAGATTTGGGCGCACGTTAAAGAACCCCAGGTGGTCGAAATTTCCGGAGCCCTCCACTACGGCGTCTCTCATAATCATACGGTGATTTTGGGTCGTTAAACCCCACAAATCAATCAATCAAAGCTTGACAAACAAGCTGAGAGGTAACGTAGTAGCAAACTTTCGATGCACTGCATTCACAATACTCCTGAGCGGCTTCGTCTCCAGTGAATCTGTGCTACCCTAGCCGAAATATACGGCGAACCACGCTTTCGTTAGATGATCGTCTGTATCTACGAGAAGGTAAGATCTCCTTTTTCGTTTGCCCCCCTGCTCAGGTCAGATCACCATTAGAGATAGTTTAGAAAGGACGAAACAC